TATTAGCCAAACAAAACAAACCTTTTATTCTCATTTTGTTGAGAGTCAGCAAAGGGCTATTTAATCTGAAAATCAAAATAAGCTCGAAAGTTCTTAAATGTCTTCTCAAGCATTTTTTTTAGAAAAATTACACCAGGTTAAATAATCTATGCCCAAGGTCAGACTGAAGACCATTTCCCCAAGATAGGTAGAATTCTCTGTAGGTGTTAGTTTTATAGAAGCCAGAACTGAACAGAGTATTAACCTTACTTCTTCATCATCCTCACAGAATTTAAAATCCCAAGATTTATAGATGGGAAAGAGCCATGAATTAAACCTGTAGCTAAATGTAGTATTTTAAATACTGTATTTAGCACAGATTTCAAACATGGTGCTATCCATTAACATTAACACAGCTTTATAGTTTTGTAATCAGATCCCCAGTATGTACAGATTGTCACAGAACAACGTGGTTATTTTAGCAGTTAACCAGTATACAAATAATTAATAAACTTAAATATACAGCTTTCTGAGGAAATTGGCTAATTACTTGGACACGTAATTTGAACACCGTCTAAATCTGCGTACTCATAGAATTGTTGCTGTAGCCTCCTTTGGAATTCATCCGTTCCTGAATATGCCCAACCTGGAAAAAGCATAAGATTATAAAAGGCTAATTAGTGCTACTAACATTATATAGTATATTTTGCACTTCAAAATTATTTCAGCATGTTTTTGTAATTAGTAATGGGTCTAATATTTTTACTTAATTTTCTCCAACTCTAAAGTCTCAGATATAGGCTTCATTACACATTTTAGTTATAAATAATGGTTTATGACAACCATGCATTTCCTTTAATGAATGTATACCCAGAAAACTATTAGCAGGAATGTATTCAAAGGATAAATTTGCAAAGGAATTCGCATACCTTTAAGCCAGGTGAGATTTTTGGAAACATGGATGCATCACACAATTATTTAAAAGAGGTTAGTGCAGTGGTTCTCAACCTTTTTAATGCCGCGACCCCAACCGGTCATAAGTCGAGGACTAAACCGGTCGTAAGTCGAGGACTAAACCGGTCGTAAGTCGAGGACTAAACCGGTCATAAGTCGAGGACTTTCCCTGCCCGGGAGTGCCGCGCATGCGTGGTTCCGCCCCCTGCGCCGGCCGAGGCGTAGCTGGCAAGCGGCAGAGACGGAGCAGGCCGACCACCAGCTGGCCCAGCCCAAGGGAGGTAAGGCACCCGCCGGAAAAGGGGGGAAAAATGGCGGACAAAAAAAATGGCGGACAGCCTTGCTTGGCGACCCCCATGAAATGGTCGATCGACCCCAAATGGGGTCCCGACCCACAGGTTGAGAACCACTGGGTTAGTGTAAGAAAAATGGTTTTTCATCCCGTCCCCCTTACCCCCAATATCAGTCACTTATTCTACTCTTATATATTCAGTATTTTTAATGTAGTTCCAATCTACTTTTGGATATAAGTAGTATGCTGAAGCTGCAATAAAGTAACTTACATTTCATAGGTTTACTATGTCTTGATAGTCATATCTAAACATTGATAAAGAAACCAAATGTAACACTTTGTTGCTTCTCTCCCCGACATACTTACTGATGGGGGGTTGCTGGCCATCTCTTTTGCTCCAAAATGAGTGATATGAACAAAGTTCTTTGGTTCTCCTATCATTCTTCTGTCCAGTCTCTTCTTAAGAGAACAGAGAAACAACTATTTTAGGTTCCTCGTAACAATTACCATAAAAACCAGTGATATCTGACTAGGGAGGGAAAATATACCAAGTCCTTGATTTTTATGTATGTCATGTATGTGTTTCACTTTGAGAGCGGGCAACTAAATTTCATTTTTGATGTGTGCCATTGTGCCCACAGTATAAAAATGACAATAAAGGTTATCTTATAACAGAATTTTATTTCAGATTTCCTATTCAATAGTTTGGGGTTTTTTTCCTCTATAGCCAAGCTTTGTATTACAAAGCCTGCCATAAAACAGGTCTTGAATTTAATATTGATATAAAACGGCTGGAGCTTAACTGGTCAGTCTTCTAGCTGTTTTAATATATTTAAACATTAAATTGCATTTTTTTAAACCTGTATTCTATATGATGGTTTGAGTATGGTGCCTAGGATTGCTCTCTGAAATACAGCATATGCATTTTTAAATAAAGCAACTCACTGTTTGAGGCTGATCTCCAATGCAACAGCTAAAACAAACCAGGAACTCTGTCATTATAGTACACAGTAATAGCTTCTAGAAATAAAAATTAAAGTAATTGCCATAGTTAGGGAACGTGCTATTGATATTTTTTTTGCAATGTTATTTTAATAGACTTTAGAATGGTTGAGCCTTGTTACTTCTTATCCCACCGACCTATACAAAAAACCCATCATACTTGAGTTTGCCTATGTCCTTTAATTTTTTTTCCTACCTCTGTGTGCCTGAACAAATGAAAGAAAAATACAGCTACAACAGCTGCAGTATTCACATGCCACATGTAAAAAAAACTATAAATATCAGTATCAACTATATATAGCTGTATGAAAGTAGGATAAAAGACACTAGATACAACTAGCTTTCTGACGACACAAAGCAAAACTTGAATATTTTAAAATGTCATGATTGTAGTCTTAATTGCCATCTACCAGCTATTAAATTTAGCAAAAATAGGTCACTTCTACAGATTCTTACCAAAGCTAGTGACTATACTAGTTCATGCAACATATAGTTTATCAACCTTTGTAGATAAACCATGAATTATGGTTAAGCAGATGAACTAGCTTTATAACTTATTCAATAAAGCAAGCTATACCTCAAAGTACTATAAAGGTAGTCATGTTTCATAGAATATTCTATTAAATACTTATTAAACTATTTTTGCATAGTTATTCAAAACAGATATAAATTCTCTTATCCTGACATCTGATTGTACAACAAATATGTAGCTATTAAAGCCTCTCTTGGATAAAGGTTCAAACCTGATAATAGTAACTAATTATTTCAAAACAATAATACAAGTCTTTACAGCCAAATTATACTAAGCCACAGTTGTAACAGTTAAATATAACATAAAAACGTTGTAACTTTTTTCAGAAGCTGTTTTTGTACTACTGGTATTAACCCCAAAGACACATCTACATTTTATATCCACAGCCTATTACTACCTCTATTTTATATAATACAATAACATGTACTACAACACACACACAATGGGAGATTAAGAACTCACAACCACAATGCTGCTCTAAACTTTAACTTTCTTAAAACAAAGACTACTAAGCAATCTCTGCTCTTATACAAGCCCCAAATTATCCAATTACCACTCTTAAATCTTCCCGTTTAACACAACTGCTCTCTGGGTGGAGCCATTTTCACAGCTGATAATTTTTGCTTCAAGACTCATTCCTAACCTTGTATTTGGATATCACTGTGATTCTGTTGAATCCTTCCTACAGCCTACCTATCATCAGTTTTGAAAATATATAAATATTTTCTACTCTAAAGACTGTTTTAGGAACACTATATTATTTCTTTTTGCTTTTAAGAGCAACCTGCAAGCCACAACTCGGCAGATCAAGATGTTGCAATCACTGAAATTCTAGTCATCTATGCAGGCCTGTTGTACATTGTAGGATATCCTGTTTTATTAAATCTTTCTTTTATAAACACTATTTTTTTCTTTGTCTTTTTCAGGTTATTTGCTGCTGCCTCTTTGGTACCAGTATTCATCACAACCTTAGTCAGAAGATTCATTTAAAAGATGTATTTTCTATGAAGGAGGAATCAAATAAGTTCATATATAGATCACAAACTAATTTGGATTGAGCTATTTTAATTTCCAAATGTTTTGTTTCGTAGCATCAAGAATACCAGAGAGCGCTGTACTGTAAACTGACTCTGATCCATGAAAACCTAGTAGGCCAATAAATACATCAATATCCCAAGTTACTGCAGGCATCTTTTGGTTCATGTTTATTCAATCGCATTTGTAGTTTAACAAATAGTTTAACAAGTATTATATAGTTCTAAAGAAGACACAGAACAAATCTAGAAGGTAATCTGACTTGATAAACTTTTGCGTGCTTATTTTGCACACCAGTCTTTGGCCTGGTTCATGGACACATACTAAACTGCTTAAGTAAAACCAGACTGTCCACAGGAAGCACACGAAACAATGTTGAAGCCAGTATTTTGGACACATAACGCAAACACAAGACTAATTGGAGAAGATCAAACATTAAGACGGGTAAAACCACGATGAAGATTCAAGAACTCAAAACAAGCAGTTACAGACAATCCTGGCCAAATTATGTCATTATTTCCCAAAGACCTACTGAACACCTGAATCCACTAGATGGCAGCAAAGCATTAAAAAAAAATCCTGCATCTTTGCTCCCACCTAGTGGCTGCTCAAAGTATAGCAGCCCAGATTTGGCATGCCTACATTAGGCCGAAATCTAATTTGTTTCTTCGTGTGAAATATCTGCTGCGGCAGTCAACTATGTTTTATAACCAGTAAATTGTGGAAATGGGGCCAGCAATACCATGTTGTATGGATGAGCTTGATACACGAACCTAGACGTTTTTCCCCCTCAAAGGAATATGTAATCATGTTTTCGACGGGGTCGATAACTAATGCTCCAGGGTTAGCTTTTTCTATATATATTTTTTGGTGGGAAATCCCCTCAAAATTCGTATTTAAAAAGGACCAAGCGACACCACTCATCCCTCATCCGCCTCAGAATGCAACTGGCGAGGCGCGGAAACGCCACAGGCCGGTACGAGAGAGAGAGGCCGGGCCAACAACTAAACCGACCAATCGGAGCGAGCCTGCCCTCGTTTCCAGTCCTTTATTGGATGCTAAGACTTGGGGAGGAGACGGGAGGCGCGGAAAAAAAAAAGCCGGCGCTTTGAGGCCGTCGATTGGCGGCACCCTGCGCCAATGAGCGCGCTCGAGGGCGGGCGATGGGTGGGGGGTAAAGGCCCGCGCGACTATAGCGGCGCCTTCTTTCGTCTCAGGACTTGGCGGGAGCGCGGTCGGCTTCCCTCCGTTGTCGCCGTTGTCTCCGCCGCGATGGCTCCCCTCGGCAGTTGACGCTCGTGGCGCTTTCTTTCCCTCCCGGTTCTTCCTCCTCCTCCTCCTCTTCCATTTTCGGGCTCTCCGTGAGGCCAGCGCGCTCGCGGCACCATGAAAGTCATCATCGGCATCGGCGGGTGAGAGGAAGGACGAAGAGAGGGGGGAGGGAGGGGGGCTTGGGCGCGGGGTGCTCCGGCGCCTGCGCAGTGGGGAGAAGGTGGTCCTCGGTCCTCCACGTGCGAGCCCCCCCCCATTCTGCGCTGCAGCTGTTGCCGCAGCTGCTGCTTTTCCGGGCAGGTGCCGTGATATTCCTGGGTGCCTTTGGTGGTCCTCTCCCGCCGTCTCCAGTCTTTCTTTTTTCCTTCCTTCCTTCCTTTTTCTTTCTTTCTCTTTCTTTCTCTCTCTTTTCCTAGATAGATAGATAGATAGATAGATAGATAGATAGATAGATAGATAGATAGATAGATAGATTAGATTAGATTAGATTAGATTAGATTAGATTAGATAGATAGATAGATAGAGGAACAGCTTCCCTTCAGAAATCGTGGGTGCTCCATCACTGGAGGTTTTTAAGAAGAGACTGGACAGTCACTTGTCTGAAACGACATAGGTTCTCCTGCTTGAGCGGGGGAGGGGGTGGACTAGAAGACCTCCAAGGTCCCTTCCAGCTCTATTCTATTCTAACTCTCAAGGGGGCGGGGTTTCCCACTTCCCCCTTTTCCAAGGATGATCTTATGCAGTCAATGGGCAGAGGGTTGCAGCCCCATCGTGTTTAATTTTGAGACTTGAGTGGCTGGTGGTTTAGCTGTTTTTGAAGAAAGCGGGGTGCGCAGCCACAATTAGATAGATAGACAGACAGACAGACAGACAGACAGATAGATAGATAGATAGATAGATAGATAGATAGATAGATAGATAGATAGATAGATAGATAGATAGAGGAACAGCTTCCCTTCAGAAATCGTGGGTGCTCCATCACTGGAGGTTTTTAAGAAGAGACTGGACAGTCACTTGTCTGAAACGACATAGGTTCTCCTCCTTGAGCGGGGGGGGGGAGGGGCTGGACTAGAAGACCTCCAAGGTCCCTTCCAGCTCTATTCTATTCTAACTCTCAAGGGGGCGGGGTTTCCAACTTGCCTCTTTTCCAGGGATGAACTTATGCAGTCGATGGGCAGAGGGTTGCAGCCCCATCGTGTTTAATTTTGAGAGTTGAGTGGCTGGTGGGTTGGCTGTTTTTGAAGAAAGCGGGGTGGGCAGCCACAATTTATCCTTTTGTTTATTTCGATTTTCCTCCTCTGGGTCTCAAAAGTGCTTTTTTTCTAAGAGGCAACTGGACTTTCTTGTTTGTTTGTTTGTTTGTTTTTTGAAGATGTTTCGCTTCTCATCCGAGAACGACTGGATGGTGGGGCTGAAGAAGCGTCTTGGATGAGAAGCAAAACGTTTTTAAAGAAAAAAGCAGAAAGTCCAGTGGTCTCTTGAAAAAACACCTTTGAGACAACCATGACCTGGATGACTAAGAATCTCCACAGACATTTTCCTCTCCGAGAAAAAGAATTAGAGAGATGGTATAAGAGACAGTGTGGGTGTGAATCAGGAATGGGGGAGAGTCGATCCTGGTCTGCCTTCAGTCCTGGAATCCCTCTCATTTCCATCCATGTTCAAAATTCTCTACCCTGAGACGAGTTTCTGTAATCTCCAGAGGTTTTGATTTGCTGCATTTGTTGATACCCATTGTGTGACATTCCCATTATAGGATCACTAATGGCGGGAAGACCACTTTGACTAACAAACTCACACAGTTGCTGCCCAACTGCAGTGTGGTCCATCAAGATGACTTCTTTAAGGTGGGTTGGGAAAATTTGCTTTTGCTTTTCCTCCCGTTCGCCGGGCATCCAAAAGCCATTATGTAATTTCCTTTTCCTGGCTAGAATATGTGGATAAAGGATACCTTTGGAAGTATGTTGATTGTTAACATGTGAGTTTATACTTTGTGATGGTCTCAATACAACTAAAGCCTAACATTCTGCCCATGTAATTGATGGGAACTGCTGTGACATTTGCAACAGAGCTGAGGAATGACGTAGGCAGAATCGTTCCTGCACCTTTTGGAGTATCTACTGAATAAATAGATGTAGAAGCAGTACATTCAGTTTTAATAGCAGGAGACTTAAGGATTCTGATTGCTTGCTCCTTTCAAATGCATATTGGTTTGCTTACACTTAGCTAAGAAGAAAAGACAACAGAGAAAATGGCAGATGGCACATTAGAAACACCCTTTTTTTGCTCACTTTGTACTAAACCCTCTTTGGATGTTGGGATGCTTTTTTAAATGCATAGCAAGCTACACAGTAATTTGCCTCTAAATGAACATCTTCAGCCTAGGTTTTTGTCCATCTTTGCAGATTGTTTTCATCTTTGCATACTTTTCTCCAATCCTTTCCCATCATATCAGTAGGCTGAATTCCATGTATTTGCAGACTTTTGTTTTCCCATGGAGTTTAATGTTCTTCTAAGTCTTAAGCATCGGTGTTCCCTATAATGTGTTTGTCTTGTCATATATCGGTTTACTTCTGGAGGGTTGGGACATAAAGGTTTTTCTGTAGTTACTGGATAAGATCCTAATATACAGTTGGCATGACTCTACTGTTTTGAAAATAGGATAGGTGGCTATTTGTTAGCGATGAGATAAAGGACAAGCTCATTTGTCGTTGCCTTGAGACCCTATATTATGTAAAGTTATTGAAACTCTAGCTATCGTCTTTTAATACAAGCTTTGAATTACCAGGGAGTCAGTTTGAACACAGTTTTATCCATCTTAAAATTAGCCTTAGGAAATCTGTGACGAGCTCTGCAGACGGTTTTTATTCTGTTTCAGCCCCAAGATGAAATACAGGTTGAAGATGGATTTAAACAGTACGATGGTAAGTTCTATTCATATCGACACAGTGACTCATTATTTAAAAAAATCCTTTAGTTCTATCATAGAACTAGTCAGTGAACAGAAGAAAGAATAAGAATGCAAGCTTGGTCACCAACTGAGATTGGGGCATTTTATATCGCGTGATACTGCTTGTCTCTCCCTTCGGAGCTAACATCTCTGTTCTTTTGCCTTAGTTATTAGTGCTTTGGATATAGATGCAATGATGAATACCATCAGTGCCTGGAAAAAAAATCCCATTAAGTTTGAGCGATCTCATGGCATTAATACACTTGATACCAGAATCATGGAGGAAAATGATGACACCATTCATATTCTTATTGTGGAAGGATTTTTACTTTATACTTACAGGTAACTTGAAGTCAAGGCAATGACTTCTAATAGAACTTTCTACGCGTTCTGGTAGTTTGGTCGTTTTTGGCTGGCGAAGAAAAGTTTCAAATATCCTGAGAACTGTCCCAGCTTTCTATATCTAATCAAGTACCTGCTGACACTTGTTTATTCTTAGCAAGTCTTTGACAGATAATGCAACAGGCGTGGTGCGAACCGTTTTGATTGTACATGAGAGCAGGTGGCGATTAGATAAATTTTACTTGTTCCAATGCTCTCTGATTATATATAGAAAGAAGCATGAAGGAGGAGCACTTTCTTAGGATAGTTATTTTGTAATGAAAGAAGAATAAGAGGGATTTTTTAAAAAAAGAAGAAATGATATTAATAAAGGATTACTGACTATGTTAAGGAAAAAGGGAATGGAGAGGTACCTGAAGTGTTAATAACATTTTTATTGTAATGAAATAAAATATGGTAATTGAAAATAGTAAAACCTAATACAGGATTTGGACCTATGTAGATGAAATGTTATTGATGATTGTTTTGATTGACTTAATTGTATTGAAACACATTAATTTGAATATAATATATTATTTGAGGGAATAGAGAGGGAGTTTTTTAATGATTTAATTTGAATTATATATGTATGATTTTGCTTTTGGATAATTGGTTACCCTGTCATCACGTTGTTTCCTAAGCACTTGTTTGTAAAAAGAAAAAAACTAATAAAACTTGTTTAAAAGGAGGAGCATTTTCTTGAGGGGTTCTTTGGCTGCATTTAACCCATAGCTGATAACCGATCTATTACAGGGCATAAACCAGGAAGAAGAGGTTTAAGTAGGTAGGAAATCCCTAGAAGCTTACTGAATAAAGAAGTAAAAAAAAAGCAAATGTTGTACCTCTGAAATAATATAAGTGCAGCCTAAAATATTCCAAAATTCTTTGGAGAGTAGATAGGCCAGTGTTTCTCAAACTGGGCAACTTTAGGATGTGTGGACTTCAATTCCCAGAATTCCCCAGCCAGAATGCGAAAACAACTAATAAGTGATTTCACAAAGTATGTAGGTGCAGCTGTGATCATCAGAACTGGACACTGACTTAAAATGCATTCAATGTTTTGTAAGAAAATTAGATATTTAAATAGTTTTGAGCTGCACCAAAGTCAGACTGTTTCTCTTATGGGGAGGGTTTTAATTTCTGGTGGTGAGCTTCCCAGAAGCTTTCAGATATTGTTAAAAATAGGATGGTGCACAAGATGGGACTTTGCGCCCCCTCTTATGTTTCTGTTAACATAACAAAACCTGAGAAATTTTCCTTCTTTTCAGACCCCTGATCGATATTTTTGACGTCCGGTATTTTCTTTCTATTCCTTATGAAGAATGTAAGAGGAGGAGAAGGTAAGTCCATGAGAAGCTAACCTTTACAGGTGGATATCTAGGACGACTGGATGGCTTTAAAAGGTCTACATAACAACCCAAATGCAAATGGGTGGTTTTTTTTTGTTTCTCTAGTTCAAGGAATTACACCGTCCCAGATCCACCTGGATTATTCGATGGTCACGTCTGGCCCATGTACATCAGACATAAGAAGGTGATGGAGAGCCTTAATGTTGACGTTGGTAAGTTCAGCTGGATTTTGGAAGCCCCTTTTGAATTTGATTTTCTTGTGTCACTAAGTTGGAAAATTGTGTTTCAAAACACAGGTCTTTTAGTAACATTCCCAGGGTTGTTTGCAAATATGTTACCGTTACAAAAAAAATAATAATTTTACTTAGACTGCAACAGTTTATATAGTTAGTTCTGTTTATCATTTACTTTTTAGCTCTACCCACAGACTGAAAATGAAAGGGAAAGGGATTGCTTGGGTCAGAAAGTCAGAATAGTTTTGCTTAGTTGTCTGGACTGTAATAGCCATGTTTTGTTTTGTTTTTAAAAAGGATAGTTTGAATAAGCCCTCATTTACTAAATTTGTAAGCAAAAAAGCTGAAATATATATATCTTATTTTGCCCAATGAAAAATAAGAATCCTGAGCCCAGTAAAATTGTTGTTTTCAAATGGTGCTGCTTTATATTCCAGTTCATTTGGATGGGACAAGATCGAGGGAGGAACTTTTTGACATCGTTTACAATCACATCCAGAACAATTTAGAAGAACTGATTCATTTGGAGGTATGTATTTTACTTGAAAGACTGGGAGCAAATCACGTGCAGATTATTACGTACAAAGAAATCCTAGCAACTTTTTTTTTTTTTTAGCATTGATTCCTGATAAAGATGGAATTATTCTGGACATAGATCAAAAAGTGGTTGTTCCAAACAGTGGTTTGGTACAAAATTTGGCAAAGTTCAAGGACGTCAGTGACTGAGAAAGATAGGGAAGGTGCTAGGATTAGGGGGCAGAATAAGTTGAACTTGCTGCCTACTGATGAAACTGTTTAAGTATACAATGAGTTAACGGGCGTTTTTGGTGGTTGCATCCTAGAGGAGGCACAGAAAGGATGGCCTGGGCAGCTGGTGGAATGTGCCATACTGGGACAACGGGGGTAGGTCAGGAAACTTTAGCTTATGGGATACGCTGTGCTTGCAAATTTGTTGAGGGGAGAATTGGACAGAGGGTGACAGTAGCCTTTCCCTGCTCATCCTATAAAATCACTTTAGGATCCCTCTGCTTTTGTTTCATTTGAAACCTGGAGCAACTAAAAATATTCTGGGTTTTTGCTTTATCAAGCTGTAGCTAATTTGAAATGGTTCTACAGAACCTCCACAGTACAGCAGCTTATTCGGATTTTGAAAATAGATTTTCTGGTTTGTACTTAACAGCTTAAAAAGACATGATAGAATTGTTACGATAAAGGTAATCCACGTTTACCAACCGGTTGTTCAGGGACCATTAGAAGTGACACTTCTGATAAAATTATGTTCTCTTTACCGTGAATTCCTAAACTACTGAAACACAATGCTATTGATTTCAATGGAAGTTTGGGGTCTATGAGACTAGGATGATAGCTTTGCTGTATTTACCAAGATGTGCAACAGGCATTCCCCATACTTTTTTTTTTCTTCCACAGCATTAAACAAATAGCCGGGACACTCCTGAGAAGATATTTCTTCGGTAGCTGTGTTTTAATGTGTGTGTGTGCTGACTTGGCGGTACAGTTGATTTTGTATAAATCCTGATTGTAAGGGTCTAAAATCTGGTCTTGATTAAAACACATCTATTACTTTTTTTAACTGTATCTTTGTGGAATTGTGCTTTTTTGCTTAATGCAGTCTTCAGAAAGCTGCTTTATATCAGGACAGACATCTTTTTATTCACCTGGATAGGTAGGTCCCTTTGACAGGTCCCAAGTCAGGAAAAGAGGGGGGGGTTTGAGGTCTCCAGCTACCTGACTTTTTCACAGCTATTCTGTTGGATACTGAAGCTGCCCCTTCTCTGCAAAATTCTTAACTGTCCACCGAGCTAGGACACTTCACCAACCATTGAGAAACAGTGCTATAATTGAGCAGGGACATGGTAGCTGAAAAAGGTCCTGCATAGGAAACCTTGACTTAAAACAACGTGGAAAGCTAATTTAGTCATGCAAATCCTCCTACTCATTCTCACAACAGAATAACCATTGTGGTATTCAAATGGAACAGGTCAGAGTGTTTTCTGTTTAGTGATGAAGAGATCCATGCCTTCTGTTTAAAAACAAAGCAAGGGGTTCTTGATGTGTCAGTGAGCAACAGTTCGCACTTAAAACATTCGGTCAATGGATTTTAAAAAAAAAGCCATGTAAAGTTCATGAACGAGGTGAGTTAATGAGGGTCATTTTAGGTTACACAGCCACATTTAACTGAAGCCTACAGAAGCTAATTCTGTCAACCTGGCATTGCTAAAAATACAGCTGCTGGCTGTGTTTGCCAGGCAGTACTTTGCTAAGTGCAGAAATAAGGAAAAACTGTACCTGTGTTTTAAGGTGCAGAGGACTCTGGAGGTTGATTCCTACAGAGAAGTTATTTTATTAATTTCGGTGGAGAATCTCTGGATGCTTTTTTTTTTTTTAAGCGTTTACATGATTTGTAGTTGGCAGAAGATGGTTTCAACGATTACTTCAACCCAAGGTGAAATATTTTCCTCACTAGACCTGGACCACCCCAATATCCCCTGTGAGAAAGGAAGAAAAAAAAAAAGACTTACACCTTCACAGAATTAGACTTGTTAAATATTTCCTGAAATTACGTGTAGCACTACGTCAAGAGTAAACATTGCTGCTCATTATAATGGAAACAAAGAAAGCAGGCTTTGCGTGGAAATTAACCGTTAAAATGTGATTTTTTTTTTCTACACTAAAGTAAAGAAGTACTACAAGCTAGTTTGGTGGAACAGGCTAAGACAATAACTTCTGGAGATTCAGTTGATATTTATGTATAAAAAAACTAGGGTACAGCGTTGTTCATTCCTGCAGGAAGTGGCCAAAGTTAAAATTGGTACACAGGAAGAGATATGACATGAATAATTCAAGTTTGCATTAGATAGATAGATAGATAATCATAGATAGATAGATAGATAGATAGATAGATAGATAGATAGATAGATAGATAGATAGATAGATAGATAGATAGATAGATAGATAGATAGATGAGATAATGATAATGATAATCATAGATATAGATAATCATAGATAGATCATAGATAATTAGATAGATAATCATAGATAGAGATAGATGATAGATAATCATAGATAATCAGATAGATAATCATAGATAGATAGATAGATGATAGACTGAATTTACAGTTCAATCTATCTCATAACATTCATATTTTCTTTACCATTATTCAGAATTTTTTAAAATAAATGGCACTGCTCAAATTAAGCCTACCTTTCTATGCAATTAATAAAGAATTAACTCTCTTCCTGGGAGTCAGTTCCCCTTAACTCCTACATAGTATGAACTGTGGTGCACTAGAATACTTACTTCAGAAGTCCATACCAATACAGATGGGGCATCATGTTAGCCTTCAGATGAAAACTTATCAGTCTCTCTTTGCTTTGATCAAAGGGAAATGTTTCTAAAGGCTGAGCGTTGTAATCAAACTCAGCCAGGATCGCTCGGTTGTAGTTGGTAATCAGAGGACAGGAAGTATATCCATCATACTACAAAACATCAAAAATATATATGCCTTTTAGGACAGGAAAAACACGGTGTCTTGCATATTATGCTGTAAGAACTTCATGCTCCCTGAATTTGTCTTAATCCCCTTTTAAAGTCCTTCAAACTGGTAGCCCTTGTTAAATTTAAC